CCAAACAACAAGGGAAATGGAAAGCTACCGGAGAGTAGCTCCGCAGTTGATGAAGACTTTACTCCAATGGAATCAACGAAAAAGAGGAGAATGGATTTCAAAATAAGGGTTCGTCAACTATTTCCGGTAAAATATGTGAATCTTAAAGCTTTTCCTGCTCCTACTTTCGATTTCCCAGCATTGTTGAAATATCAAAAGATCGATAATTTTGTCTCTGATAACGGACGTTGCTATTCGGATTTAGTCAAATCATTCAGGAACAAATTGTCAATTCATTTCAATGAGGATGAATAACACATGTTAGTTACTACGGTTCGCGACTGTGAGTTAAACGAAGATTTAGCAAACATTGCTGCAACTCTCAAGATCCCTTATCATGGCTATTTTCTCTGAAAAGGTGTCAACCATGTGGAAGGACCCTGGGCAAATTAAGATAAAATGGTAAAATTTTGGTATGCAGATCTCATGTGTTCCAAGAACATTGATCTCTACTCGACAAGGACGAGGGCAGACCATGACCAATTTAAATTTCTTTAAATTGTACCAATGTCATGACCAACATCATGACATCTGTTGTAACATCTGCAGGCTGACATACTATTTATCTAAACATTTAAATTGTGTAGAATTGTAAATGTTGAAAGATAAATAACACAATGAATTGTTTACCCAGTTCGGTGCAACCTCACCTACATTTAGGGGCTACCAAGCCAGGAAGGAAATCCACTATTAGCATAATCAATTCAGAGCTAAACTCCCCTGTTTACAACTCCTCACTTAATCTCTACCCAATGCAATTTCTACCTAGAGACCACTAGATAAAAGTATACCCACTCACTCCCCCTCAATCACAGCAGTGATATACAACTCAATACAAAAGACAAACTTTAGAAGACACTCTTCAAAGTCACAACCCTTGATCTTGCTTAACAGCTTTAATCAAGGACAATACACTCTTACTTAAAAGCTTTGAGTGACACAATGAACACAACAGTTCATACACAATAACCAAAGCAATTATACAACATACAATTGCTTGGCACACAAGGAATCCTAAGACTCCTAGACATACGTGAAGAGCAAACCTCTTTACTCACAAATATGTCTACCACAATGTATCAAAATATACAAAGGGTGACTTACACACACACGGGACTCTCAAACCCTAGACCTTTATTTTCACTCAAGTTATTCTTGATGTGAGTGCTTGATTTCCTCTACTTCTGCTCCTCCTTTTATATTAATGCAGACTGGGCTTGGGTTGGTCACAAGTAACAAACTTTAGGTTAAACCAAATTAAACCACTTTCCATAATTCAAGGTGCTGTCAAATTAGGTCACAACTGCTTCATGTTATGTCCAGCCCTGACTAGAATCTCGCCTAAGATAGCTAAGGAGCCATAACAGGTTTCCTGAAATCTAGCCTGAGATATATCAGGCATCATAACAGAAAAACAAACCCTACACGCCTGATGTCATACGACCAATGTCATAACATTCAGTCATGACATTCAGCTTCACTTTTCTAGCTTGCCCTGCTGAACACTTCTGCAAAATCTTCTTCATGACAGTAGAAACAAGCATATTATAGTTTCCTAAAAAGTCTCAAAGATCTTTTTTATGAACACTTATTAAATCTGCACTTTGTTCCTAATGAATCACTTTGGCCTGTACATACTGATGAGGAATATCCAACAGGACCAAAACACTTCTGTCAAGAGATATACCATAGAAACCCATGCTGTACCAAACATTGATGTCATGACATTCAGTATGACATCTATGACAGCAGTTCTGTCATCAGCTCCTACTAGCTTCTGCTGCACCAAACAGTGATGTCATGACATTGGTAATGACCTCCTGTTTACCACATATGATAGCAATTTTGTCATCTGCTCCTGCTAGCTCCTGCTGCACCACAGCTCCTGCTGTTTAAAACACATGACAACAGTTCTGTTACCACAGCTCCTACTGTATCAGACATCGTGATTAAAAACACATGACAACAGTTCTGTCATGACAGCAGATGAATGTCACGACATTCAGCATGACATTCACATTAAAACACTCCACAACAGTTCTGTCACCACAACAGATGGAGATGTTATAACATCCTGCTTAACATCAGTGCAGGATCATGTTTAACCAAAATTTAGCCAAACCTAGAACCATAGAACTATGGTACTAACAAATGGAGTATTACTATCACATCTGCAGGTTTCCCAGAGAGGCTGTCATTCCAGGTCAACGGACTGCTCGCACACTGTGTTATGTCAAGAATCTGTCCGTCAATGACCGTATGTTACATTATATTATCTGCTATGTTTTGATTCCGAAAGACTCTAATCATTCTCAGATCAATGACTTGGAGATGCAATTGATGTTTCCAATCAAGAACAGAATTAAAGTTAATTGGTTTTTAACCATGATGTATCACCTACAGCAGCAACTCACCTTGTCCACTCGACTTCCATACGGGCGACTTATTTCTAGAATTCTCGAATTAACCGATTTGGATTTGAACCGAGAACCCTCAATTACCCTGAAACCAACTGCGAACGAGATAAATGAAATCACAATCATCAAGAATACCAGCATAGTGAAAGATACTGATGGAACCTGCAAATATGCAGAAGAGGACTCTTCTTCTTTCAACCATCCTTATACCATTCTGGAAGGCGACATCACAAATGAATTTCTCTACATCACTATGATGAACCAATATAGAGAAACCACTCAGGTGATTAACTCTCTCCGAAGACTTGTGATGAACTCTCAAACTTCCAATACCGGATACAATGACAATGAGGACGGAAGTGAAGAGGAAGAAGATGCGAATGAGGATATGTCGGATGATGACATTTAAAAAGCACTTGTTATTGTTGTTTACTGTTTTCTAGAATTTGTTTAAGTCTAAGTTTTATGTTTCATATTTGTATTCGTAACCATACTATATGCGTATGTTTTATGTGTTAAGTGTATGTGATTGTGTTTTATTCTATGTGTGCTTGTTTACTTTTATTTTCATTGCTTCTCTTCCTTTTTGCTAATGACAAAGGGGGAGAAGGAGTGTCTCTAACATTTCCCTGTGCAGAATTTTTTATCTCTCTTGTATTTATGGGGAGCTCTCTAACTTAGGGGGATAAATATAGAGAAACAATATCACAAAGAAAATTTTCAAGAATCGATTGTCATCATCAAAAATGGGGAGATTGTAGAAGCAAGCTTCAAGGCCTTTAATGTTTTGATGAGGACAACTAAGAACAAGCTTTGTACGCAAGATATTCTTAGCAAAAGTAAGAGAAGCAAGCAATCAAACAAGGACGTCAAAGATCAAGATAGTACCCTCGCGTATGACTCTATGAATCAAGCTTCGATTACAAGCTTCAAGTGATGATGATGATCAAAGCAATGGTATAACAAATTTTACTTAAGAATATTTATACAAGTGTTCATAAAATCACTTTTCACTTCACAATTATCACTAACACTTTTAAAACCTTTTTAAATACTCACTCCTTTTTAAAATTAATTATTTTCTGAAAATCCTTCAGTGTTAATCGATTAACACATTGGTTAACCGATTAACACACTTCAAAATTAATTAATTTGAGATTTTATAATAGTGTTAATCGATTAACACATTGGTTAACCGATTAACACATGTAAATTTTGAATATTTTTGAACGTTGTAAAGGTGCTAACCGATTAACCCATTTGGTTAACCGATTAACACTGAAGCAGCAAGCAAAAATGGCAGTTGTTCATGGAAAATTGCATTGATTACCATTTCTTTTACTGACTATTTTTGCTGCATCAAAAACACACCCTTTTGAACAGGTGTTTTATGCATATAAATTGTTCTTAATTTCAAAATTATAATTAGCCTTCAAGAAACAAAATCTCTCAAATTACTCACATTCTTCATTCTTCAATTTTCATTCTAAGTGTTCAAAACCATTTTTGAAAGAAGCCATTGATTTAACTTTCACACTCTCATAACCTTCTTTCACAAGAACACTTGTATATTTATCTGAGTAACATTTGTTTTGATAAGAAGATCAATCGTGAAGATTGATAACAACTTTCTATCAAATATTTCTCAAAGATCATTTTTTGTATTACCTTGTTATCCAGGACTGTTGGAAACAAGTGAAGTGTCTTGAAGAGGATTGTTCTTCATTCACTTGGATTACCTATAGTTTAGATAGTAAGCATCACTTTTGGTGTGATTAGGCTTTGCAATAATTCTGAACTATAGTGAAATCCCTTTCGTGTTGAAGGGGGAGTGAAGTACTCTTGGAGTGTGAGGGGAACCACTATAATTTTACTGTGTCTCTTTTTTTCCTGCCTTTACTTTCAAGCCATTAACTAATAACCAGAAAAAGAACCAAGGAACCATACAAGATTGCAAATAAATTTTCAGAACCTAATTCACCCCCCTCTTAGACGCAATTACAACTTATAACCACGTGCTGGTCTTTACTACGCCATGTAAGCCCTAGCAGTCACTTGGGTTGGGCCTGGCCATCCAGCCAACGCAAGTGACCGTTGTCTCTGCGTCGGGGTCTCACTATAAATACCCTATTTCACAAGAAGGTCAGATATTCAATTCTATATCTCTCTTCTGTATTTGCTCCCACTCTGATCCACTACTTACTTTGGCATCATAGTGTCTTGCAGGTACACCCTCCTCCTCCTCCCTACCTCCGGTGAACAACCTTCAGATCAACGATGCGTGGCAGGCCACTGATTCCCTTTTGATCACGTAAGGTCACTTAGTATCTTTGCTCCTCCACCGTCGTTGTTCCTTATTTCATTGTTTCTCCACCGCCATCGTCGTTGTTCTTCATTTTTTGTCACTACTCCTCTTTTTTCGTTTGGTAAGTTATGTCATCTGCATCTTTAATTTTTCATTGTTGTAGGAGTATTAATTATTTGTTTTGATCTTTCACTTTCGTGAACATTTCCTGTGTTGTTGTTACAACACTCAAACAACTAATGGCGCGCCCAATCAAAGTGGTGAGGGACATTAACGACTCAAAGGATTTGTGGAAGATTGTTGTTCGTAGTAAACATATGTGGACTGTGGCAAGTTCCTCAAACAAAGAACACTTGGAGTTGATTTTGCTTGATTCAAAGGTATGAGTAGTGGGTTTATTTGTTCACGTTGCACAATGAATCTTAAAAATTATTTGATAAATATTTCGTTTTTAATTTCCACATTTTCTATTTTGTTTTTTAGCTTGACATGATTCAAGTCACTGTCCCACTGCATTTGTACTCGAAATACTTGGTTGAACTTATTGTGGGAAGTTCATACATCATACAGAATTTCAAGGTTTCAAATAAAAATTTCTCTTTTAAATCAACTAATCATGGTTTCAAGTTGGTCTTTTGTGGCTCAACTTCTGTTAAAAAAGCAGAACTACCAAACATCCCTGTAAATTATGTCAACATACTTAGTTTGTCATCCATAGCTGATGGAAGGTTTCAATCTAATTTGTTATTTAGTACGTTTATTATCTATATATTTATAGTTAACTATTAAATTGGTTACTTAACTGTATGCTGAAATTTGTAATTATATTTTTCTTAGATGTTGTTGGAGGAGTTATTGAAATTGTGCCGACTCAAATCATGGCTGATAACAACAAAAGCAAAGTTGTGTTTATGATAACTGACATGAGGTATGGACAAACATGTTTTTTCATGTTTATAACAAATTTCGTATTTTGATTTGTTTGAGTTTACATGTTTAGATTCATATTTGCATAGCATGTTTATGATAACTGACATGAGGTATGAACAAACATGTTTTTTCATGTTTACAGCAAATTTTGTATTTTGATTTGTTTGAGTTTACATGTTTATATTCATATTTGCATAGCCTGTTTATGATGATAACTGACATGAGGTATGGACAAACATGTTTTTTTCATGCTTACAACAAATTTTGTATTTTGATTTGTTTGAGTTTACATGTTTAGATTCATATTTGCATAGCCATTTTTTCTTTCCAGCAAAACTTTAGTTCAATATACTATATGGGATCAGCTTGCTTTGGAATTTTACCAATACTACAAGAGTCACAATGAAGAAGAAAATGTTGTTTTATTGCAGAATGCAAGGATAAAGGGCGCCTAAGGTACTTTTTATTGGGGATGTTATGATATTTGTTTACTACTGTACTATCTTCTTACAAATATATTTACCAATGTCTATTATGGCTACGTTGTAATATATAAGTTTTTGACATATTGAAGGTGGTTTTCCGTTGAATGTATACAACGCTTGGACGAGCACTAAGTTAACTATAAATGATGTTAGCATTCTTGAGATTAGCAAGCTAAAAGAAAAGTAGTTAAAAACAACTTAGTATAGCACTATTCACGTATATAATTTTGATATCATTCTTAAATGCTAATACAATTCAATCCATGATTTTTTCCTTTTTTTACATACATAACAGTCTTCATGCTGAATTGCCAAAGTTATCTTCGTCTAGCCAATAGGTTGAAACGACCAAAAACTCACAGTATTTTGAGTTTGATAAATTTATATGGAAGGTCGATATTCTTAGTCTGGTTGAAATCATGAGTCTTAAGCACGTAAATCAGCTTTTTGTAAGTTTTGAATATATTCCACAACCTCGTGCCTTCCATATTTGTTAACTAATTCTCCATTCCATAGGAGGCAACCTGTGTGACCGTTGCGAAGTTGGAGAAGCTTGAGGTTGGCCAAGCAGAATGGTATTATGATGGGTGTGGTGAGTATACAAAAATGTGTCTTTTAAAGATGGAAAACTAAGGTGCTATGCAAATCATATAACATCTGAAGCGGTCCCGAGGTATGGATTAAAGCATTCTGTTATATAAGTATTTGAAAAATATCCTCCATTATTGTTCACTATGGAATCATGTTTCATTAACTTTAATTGCTATAGGTACAAGCTTGAAGTTTTGGGAGTTGACGGGAAATTCAAGGTCCGATTCGTCTTTTGGGACGACGACTGTGTGAAGTTAATAGGAAAATCTGCTCTGCAAATGAAAAATGAATTAATAGAGGTAGTATTTGTTTCTTCAACGGTTATTTATAATAAATTACATTTATATTAAGTTGTTGGTATTAATTTAGGCCGGTGAAGACAATCCCTTGGAATCCCCTTATGAACTTGATTCTTTGTTGAAAAAAGAATAGGTTATTAGAGCTATTTTTCAGCCAAAATTTGGCAGACTCTCAGTTATTGAGTTCAAAGACGACGGCGATTCACGTAAGAAAATACGGGACAACTTCAAATCTGAAGAGGTATATTTTTTGAAGCCTAATTGAGTTATATCGTTGAACCAAGTATTTAGTAATGAATAGTGTTCTAATTTGGTTACCTCTTGGCAGCATACATCGAAAGTTTGTATTTCAGAGCCTTCGTCACAAGGGGATTTGAGGAGTTTTTCTGTAAGTATGTTATTCCATCTGTAATCACAATAATTACCATATTGCTTGCTGCATACAATAATTAATCAATGTTTAGAACATTGTTGCAGGAAGCATTGTCTACATATGCAAATTATGTCCCTTCAGCTGCAAATTCATTGCTGACTCTGACGAAAAGAACAAATCCCGATGTTGTAAAAGATGTTGAAAGTGTTCAACTGTCCTCCACGAAGATGATGAAACCAATCAAACAGGAAAATTAAAGAGATAAATGCACCACTAACTGATCTTTGAGTTAGCTATATATTGTCATGAAAACTTTTGTATTGCTTATGTTAAGTATTAGTTTAAGTTAACTTTTTGTTCCAAAACAATTGCATTGTTTCGTGTTAAGATTTTTGATTTGTTACATTGGAAACCTGTTGCTGCAAACATTATATGGCATAATTGTTTAATCTTTATTATATATATATATATATATATATATATATATATATATATATATATATATATATATATATATATATATATATATATATATATATATATATATATATATATATATATATATATATATATATATATATATATATATATATATATATATCACTCCTAATGCAAGTTAATTTCATCTGTCTTAAAGTATCATAATGTTTGCAGCAATTTTGAAATTTCAAATATGGTTATGCAGTATTTGTTCTCTTTCTTTTAAAGATTCTTCAACTGTTGTCATAAATTACCTTGCAAATAAGGAATTTGTTTCACAAATTTCAATTTTTATGTATTCTTTATCTAAAAAAGTCTTAAAAATCTACTCTGCGGGTTTATTCTTTAATGTTGCAACATATGGAAACTAAATGAAACGTCTGATTTTATATCAACTCTTCATGCATGTGACTTGAAAGAATAACACCGTATTGCATTTTGGGGACTTATCAAACACTAAATTTTACATATTAACAATATCAAGTGAAAGTGCAAAGGTATGGTAAGTTTTTTAAGTTTGAGTGCAAAGTTGGAACTCATCCACATGTAACTTCCAAAATACTTACAATGTAAAGTGAAACAACAAAGTAGTGGTCACTTTTTTAATTTTGACAATTTTTTTGGTTACATTCCCTATATAATAAAAGCAATATCATATTATTGGTTTGAATTAGATTTTGAACACTATGATCAACAACATTATAGTGCATATTAAGTTTCATGAAAAACAAAAAGCCACCATAATCAAAACATTTGGAAACAAAGTTAACTTCATTATATTAGTAATAATTGGTAGCATTACATAGCTAATACCAAAGTACATTTGCAAACTAAAACCTTAAAACACATAGCGCATTACATCACTAAATCAAAACATAACTCCATGAACACCATTGATACTGCAACCAATTAACTTGCACCAAAACAACCTTGATTTATAGCAATTACATAGATTAAAACAACTACAACATCTCCATTATACTATAATAACTTCATGACAAGCCATTTCCTTCAAACATTCTTCTGTGGGCGATGTCAGTACAACCTCATATACAACATTTCCTTATCATAATTATAGTGAAATAAGAGCCTATCTCCCACCATGAGTTTCTTTTCCTTCGCGTATGAGTACCAACCAACTCCGACATATATCTCCCGATATTCTCTCTTTGATTTCATTATCTTACAATCATAAAAATCCAACATGTCAAAGTCTAACATGGTTAATTCAGTGATGTTGTTTCTTAAGGTTTTCCTTATAACCTTTTGAGTGAATTGTTGCATAATCATTTGTTGTCATCAAAAAGTTAAGATTACAATACAAGAACAAAAAAGTAAACTAAAACATTATGTTTTTTTTAATAGAGGTAATATTAATCTTACCAGGACTTGATTTCCATGCTACTATGAATGGGTGATCTCCTTATCCCAAAAGATATATTGGACAAGCCCTCATACTGGATCTTGTGAAGATTGGTCAACATTAGGCTCCACTTTAACTTCCTTCATCACAACAGCAGGGTGGCCCATAACGTCCTGATTCACCACCTCCTCATTCGAACATTAGTCTGGGTCGTGTTGATTTCCGAAAACAACTCTTCCACTTGAACATTTTCCGTTGGTTGTTTTGATTATTTCACCATTTTTCCTATTATTTCGTTAACTTCATCACTATCCATAGACAAAAACCTATAATGTAATGTATTCATCATTATAATATGCAGAGTTAGATTAACAATAACTGGCCAACCTAAAACAGAAGGAATTCACACTAAGTAATGACAAGATATTTTGTTACACGTGCGAAGTTGAAGTAGAGGAAGACATTTCGAAGTTACTTTAGAGTTGCACAATGGTTTGAGGTAGTATTTAAAGCACTCTAAATGTCTTGGATTTACAAAGAATAATTGATATGTTGCTTCCAATATCAGTTAAAATAGTGGTGTTAATTTGATCTGACAATGACATCTAATAAGTAAATCTTGAGACAATCAATATGGAATGGCTATAAAAAACGTGTCAGCTGTTTCATATGCATGTCTTACTTATTACTATTTATATTCATAATTCCATTTGTTTATAGTTTCCAATGTGAAGTTACTTCACTATAACATATGCGGTTATACATTAATAACCGACTATTATTTTTTTTATTCATGATGCATTACATGGCCATCTGGATCCTTTAATCTACCTATATGGTCTTAATATCAGCTATAACACTTGAGTTTCTTATTGGTATTTGAATTTGCATAACTGTAACATGTATAATTAAATACTTTAATAATTTTGATTTATAATCTTAGTAATGCTCAATATTATTTTTATATACTAAGTTAGAATATATTTGTAATTTATCATTTAACTCATATATTAACAACAATAATGAAGTCCATATGAGCAAGAAAAGGTTACACACATTCTTTGTTCATATAAGAAAATTCAAAATATGAAAGAACAACAATCTTGAATATCTACACTGCTGGAAACTTCTCCCGAGTTAATGACTACCATACAAACAAAGTTGAATAAGAATTTTGTAGACTAAGTGATTTTAACCCCTTGAATTAATGATACTCTCCAACAAAATGGAACCACGCTGTTTGTCCAAAAAACAAGTTGCAACATTGGTACGACGTAAAAGGAGGAAAATTCTTAAAGATAGAAGATCGAAAAAGCTTATAATTGATGAGAACGATATCAACCACATTGAAGGCTCTCAAAGGTACTATGCTTCATCCAGTGTTAATATCAGAACACCACTATCTGATGTAACTTTAGCACTCCTTAATGAAATAAGTATGTGTGAGATGTTGGATCAAACTCTAGTATGGTCGAAGTCTGTTCGCGAGTAATGCATGTTGTAGTCGAAGTTTGTTCTAACATGTATTAGTCAATATTGCTAGGGTTGTTAGCATGTTGAATTGGGCCTTGCTTGTAAGCCCAATTTTTAAAGTTAGCTTGTACCCTAAGTTAGCTTGTAATGGGTAATTGTTAAAAAGCCCATTAGGTTAGTGTGCTATTTTATTATAAATAGGATGCTAGTTTCTCAATCTTGCCATAAGGAAAAATAGGAAGATAAAATCCTAATTTCAAGAGAGAGAGGTTATTTTGTTATTCTTGTATACTTTTAATCTTGTTCTAAGAGAAAGGAAAGAATAGCAGTTTAATAACCAATCCTTGTTGTTTTCTTCTTTATTAACCCTAACCCTTGTGTGTTTCTTGCT